AAAAAAAAAAAAAAAAAAAAGAAAAGAAAAAGCGTTGGGATCAGTCACCTTTATTTAAGCCTCTCCTTCCCTTTCCCAGAACCTATGATGCCTATTCTACCTTCTACCTGAATTCCAGTGGCCTCATTTGTCGCCATCGCCTAGACAAAGTGAGTCCTAAGTAGGGCTGGGTAGGGGTGGGGTAAAGGGCAGAACATCTGTGTGCTTCCCCTCAACTGGTATCCCTTTCTTCCTGCAGCTGATGCCTTCACACTCACCTCCAACACCTGTGAAGAAGCTGCTAGTGGGAGCACTGGTCGCCCTGGGGTTGTCAGAACCAGAACCCAACTTAAACCTGTGTTCCAAGGCCTAATCTTTGGCCTTGGCATGGAGGCGGGACTGAAGACTTTGTGACGCACAAGCAAAGGAAGTGGAGGTGGCCAAGAATCTCAGGAGCCAGCTTCCTCCCTGCCCTTTTCTCTGTCCTTTCTTCCTTTCCATCTCATGCTGTGTAAAGCTGCTGTGTAATTTAACTTGTAAATAATAAAGTTTAAGTGACTATATGAGACAGAACTTCCTATGTCACTTTCTCTGGATCTCATAAGTTCCCACAAACTTTATTCCAAAAATAATTTTATTTAATAGATATTAAATAATGTATAGACAGAAAAGGAGCTGGTGTCAGATTCTATTTATATCCCTTTCTGTTACCCCAGTTCTTCTCTTGTCTTGCCTATTTTTTTTGGCATTTTCTTAGAATGAGGATCTTCTAGCTCCTTGGCCTTGTAATAGTGTGGAGCAACCTCCAGAAGCCAACTGCTCTCAATTTCCAGTACCTAGAAGAAGAGAGAAAAGATCAGTAGGGTTCTCTTCGTTCCGATCTAGATTATGTGTATCATCAAAAAAAAAAAAAAGTTCTCTTTCCCCGCTGACTGCAGGGCTGGAAGAAGAGATGCCTGGCTGTATTATTGTATGTCCAAAGTGCAGATCTCTGCATGTTGAGATCCCAAGTAAGCTATCCCTGAGAAAAGCCTGGAACATAAAGACTGCAAAGTAAACTCTGCTTTATTCACCATTACAGCCCTAGCACCTAAAACACTGAGATACTAAGCATTAAATGTTTATTGAGTAAGATGTATATATCTGGGAACTACAGCTCTTAGATCTTAGAAGATACTGAGACAGCTTAGAAAGGATGCCATTCTATTTTATCCTACCTTAAACGAATATTTTTCTTTTCTGTGCCAGGTAGAACAAGGTAGAACTGGGTTCTGAGCTTGCCAGGATACCATCTCCCCATATAATCACCTGCCTGGGCAAAGGATGGTCTCACCTGTCTCATGAACTCTTTGGTGGTCAAGACAAGTTCATGGTAGAGCAGCCAGCGTGGCTGTTGCTCAAAGAGGGAGGAGTTGGGATGAATGAACACTGTCTGCTGCTGTTTCACTGTTCGGTAGCCACTACGAGTCAACCGTGCTGTGTGGTAAAAGTAACCAGCAGTGATGGCCTGAGGAACAGACAGGAAAGAAAGTGGGAAAGGCACACATCTGGGGACCCTCAGTGCCCAATACTGTTTTAATGGAGAACTAGAGAGATGAGGAAAGCATAAAGAACCCACCGAGAAATCTTCGGTGATCTGGGGAAGAGGGAGCCTTGAGAGAACACACCTTACACAAGGGAGAGGGGGGTATGTTCTCAGGGTGGAGGTACTGCATGTCCCAGAAAAGCTTGCTTCTTGGGAGGTCCTGGGTGGAGAGCAGTAAACAAGAGAGGCTGACCTTGCGTACACGGATATAGTCTCCCTGGCAGGAACTGAGACCAACTTCCACACGTTCCAAGAGCCCCTCCAGCTGTTCCCGCACATCCCTAGCTCGGCGCATGGATCTGAACTGTACAAAGTTCTCATAGCACCACTGGGAAGAGTAACCACTCTCAGCCCACTATGAAGAGAGTTAAAAAGAAACAGGGCTAAGTATACAGCAGGACTGAAACACCCTATGTCCCTCATTCCCTCTCACCCCAGCCCAGTCACCTGTGTGTAAACATTTAGCAGAACCAGGTGGTCACCCCCGGGAAGGAAAAAGTTCACACGGGCATTGTCTGCATGGACAACCTTGTCCTTGGGTCGGTAGAAGATAGAATTGTTGACGGAGAGCATGGCAGCCACTGTCAAGATCTCCTCTGAACAGCTGTACCTGGGACAGGAAGGGAAAAGCATGAAAGTTCAAAGTGAGACACCTAAGAACAGACACGGTGGGGAGACAGTGATCATTGTGATGTTTCCTCACATGGGGTAAAGGTGGTTGACACCTTGGCTACAAATTAGGCCGAAGATTGAGATGGTAGCAGTGAGGTGGGGGTCATGGAGGTGGGAGCTGTATAGGAAGCACAGTTACACAGGAGGGTATCCATACAGAGGAAGGACTGTACTTCTGAGGGTTCAGCAAGAAGGTATGCTCTAAGTGCACCAGGAAGAGCAGTAGCATCTAAAGATGGTCTCTTGGCTTGGCGCCTGTGGCTCAAGAGGCTAAGGCGCCAGCCACATACACCTAAGGTGGCAGGTTTGAATCCCCAGCCCGGGCCCGCCAAACAACAATGATGGCTGCAACCAAAAAATGGCCAGGCGTTGTGCGGGCACCTGTAGTCCCAGCTACTTGGGAGGCTAAGGCAGTGGAGACTCGCTTGAGCCCAGGAGTTGGAAGTTGCTGTGAGCGTGATGCCATGGCACTCTACCCAGGGGGATAGCTTGAGGCTCCGTCTCAAAAAAAAATAAATAAATAAATAAATAAATAAAATAAAATAAAGATGGTCTCTCTACAGCTATACCTAAATGTTCCATGTGAAACCTTAGGAATGAATAAGGTTCTTTTTTTTTTATTATTTTTTTTTGAGACAGAGCCTCAAGCTGTCCCCGTGGGTAGAATGCCATGGCATCTCAGCTCACAGCAACCTCCAACTCCTGGGCTCAAGCGAGTCTCCTGCCTCTGCCTCCCAAGTAGCTGGGACTACAGGCGCCCGCCACAACGCCTGGCTCTTTTTTGGTTGCAGCCATGATTGTTGTTTGGCGGGTCCAGGCTGGATTCAAACCTGCCACCTTAAGTGTATGTGGCTGGTGCCTTAGCCACTTGAGCCACAGGCGCCAAGTCATGAATAAGGTTCTTAACTCAGCAACCCTCCCAGATGGAAAAGCCTTCACTTTCATTTGAGCCCCCCAAATTGCTCTGTGTTTATAAATCTTGCCCATTTAAGCAAGAATAGGATCAAGTGTCTTACACTTGTGGGCCTCAAAAGAGGAGGCAATAGGATAATAACTTATTTTTTGTTAAAGAGTAATATGATGAAAAAAAAAAGAGAAAGAGACAAAGGTGGTCCCTGAGACAGAGGAAGCCTGGACAGTTTGTGTGCAGGGAACCCAGGTGGAATGGGGGAGCTTACTTCTCAGAGGCCAAGATCATTTTAGACAGCATGGGGTCCACTGGCAGCTCTGCCATCTTTCGACCAGACTAAGGAGAAAAGAGAGAGTTGAAGCCAGTCCACCCTCAGGTTTCCTTCCATCACTACAGGGGTTCTTGGAGCCATCCAGACCCTGTTATCCTGCCCTAGCTAATGCTGTACCCCCACCTCACCGTTGTGAGCTCCCCGAGGTGGTTGAGGGCTCCCAAAGCATACAGCTGCTCCAAAGCCAGCAGCAAAGTCTCATATGGTGGAGGGTCCAGGAAATCAAAATGCATTAGATCATGGATCCCTAGAGAAAAGTGTGAGGGATAGATAGAATAGAGGTCCTTTATAAGGACCAGCCCCCATCTCCCTGCCCTCTCAGTAGGACTTAGGTAGCCCAATCACCTAAGCTCTTGAGTAGCAACACAACATTGCCTAGGCTGGTCCTCTGGATTTCAGGCACTGTGGTTTCCTCAAGCTCATGCTGATAGGCCCAGGCAGTATACAGGCGGAAGCATTTCCCTGCAGCCACCCGACCAGCCCGGCCAGCTCGCTGATTGGCTGAAGCCTGGAAAGAAAGGAGAGTAGGCTGGCTGAAAATTTGGTCAGGGAAAAGAGAAAAGGTAGTATTTATGCAAGAAATCTGGGAGGATGCAAACTGCTTATTCCCTGCCCCCTAAGAAGCCCCCATCCTGCTCTGAGTTAGACCTTTCCTATGGGACGATTCCACCTCCTGCCACCTCATGGAGACCCAGGCTGACCTTGCTGCAGGGTGTGACAGTAAGTGATTCCATGCCTGTGCGGGGGTTGTAGCTCTTCTGCTTACAGAACCCTGGATCCAGCACATAAATGATGCCCTCAATGGTGAGCGATGTCTCAGCAATGTTTGTTGCCACAACCACCTGAGTGAGAGAATGTGAGGTCATCCAGAGACCCTACCCACCTAGTTACTCAGGAAAAAGTAATCTTGGAAAGTTATGAATAGGGAAGCAGGTGTGGTAAGAGGCAGGAGCTGAGGAAATTAGTATCCAAAATCAGGAGTCAGGGACAGGCCAGAAGAACTCACAAGTGTAGGTAGGTTTGAGGTCCACAGGGTCAGAGACAATAGGCAACTGCCACAAAGGTCAGCTATTTCGTTTTTGTTTTTGTTTTTTTGATTGTTTTATTTTGTTTTTTCTGTTTCTGAGACAGAGTCTCACTTTGTCACCCTCGGTAGAGTGCCATGGTATAATAGCTGATAGCAACCTCAAACTCTTGGGTTCAAGCAATCCTTTTGACTCAGCCTCCCAAGTAGCTGGGACTATAGGCACTCACCACAATGCCTGGCTATTTTTAGAGACGAGGTCTTGCTCTAGCTCAGGCTGGTCTCAAACCTCAGGCAATCCACCTGCCTCAGCCTCCCAAGTGTGGGGACTAAAGGCATGAGCCACCACGCCTGACCCTATAGAGGGGGTCTTATTCTTCCTCAGACTGGTCTTGAACTCCTGAGCTCAGGTGACTCACCCACGTCACCTTCCCAGAGTGCTAAGATTACAGGTATGAGTCACCACGCTCAGCCGATTTAGGGTTTTTTCAAAGATGGCAGATGGGCATAACCAGGTTCTTGCCCCAATCCTCCCTGCCATTACTTTCACATTCATCTTCACATACTGCTTCCTATAGTAGCCTCCTAACAAGTCTTCCTGCTTCTACTCCTAGCCTCCATCACTTGGCATCCACAATGTAAACCTGTCACATCATTCCCCATCCTTCAATGGCTTTCTATTGTTCTAGAATTCAATTCATACCCCTTAAAGGCCTGATCACCTGGGCCATGGTTGCCTTTCTCACCTCATCCCCCAGCACCCCACCCTCTACTTTGCTCCTCACTCACCTACTGCTTCCTGATACTCCTTGCCCCTAAATGCATGCCTCACTCTAGCCTTTACATCTGCTGTTCCTACACTGATGGTATCCTCCTCTCATCTGATTCAGGGTTTTGTTCCACTTTCATCTCACTGGAGAGGCCCTATCTTCCTGCTATTCCTCATCTCCACCCCCCCAGAGTCAGCTTCCATCTTCCTATGCTGCTTTGTATCTCTTCAGAGCACTGGCCACAAACTGATGTTATGTATGTATTTGTGTCCACTATCTCCTCCCATTACACTGCAAATTTGTTAGGCTAGGGGCTTTGTTTTGCTCCTGTGTCATCATCCTTTAGAACAGTACCTGGCACACAAAAGGAACTCATTAAATATTTGTTGAAGGCGGTGCCTGTGGCTCAAAGGGGTAGGGCGCTGGCCCCATATGCCAGAAGTGGTGGGTTCAAACCCAGCCCTGGCCAAAAAAACCCAAAAAACCCCTGCAAATATATATATATATATATATATATTTGTTGAATGAAAATGATATCTCTGCTCAAAATCCTTTGATTGCCACTCAACTGTGTAAAGTCCAAGCTCTTTCTCCTGACATCAAAGGCTCTCCTTAATCTCAGTCCAAAGTTGTTTTCAGCTTTGTCTCCTACTTTCATCATAGGAAACTTCCATTAAGCCTATTAACTCACACTCTGACTTCAAATACACCTTGGGCCTTCATCTGATATCTCCCTTGCCATTTTCCTTAAAGGTTCATATCAAATCCCACCTCTTGGCACACCAAGGGTTTCCCTTTTCTACTGCATCTGTACATTGCCTGAGGTTTGAGACTTGACTACATGCCATAGTTATCCTCTCTGGCCTCAGAGGCAAAGGAGTGACCTGTGCCTCAGCCTGTGCCTGAACCAGTGCCCAGGACACGCCTTGCATGGGGCAGGAACACACATCTTTTCTTTTTTTGAGACAGAGTTTCACTATGTCGCATTCAGTAGAGTGCCATGGTATCACAGCGCACAGAAATCTCAAACTCTTGGGGTCACGTTTCTCTTGCCTCAGCCTCCCAAGTAGCTAGAACTATAGGCACCCACCACAACACCCAGCTATTTTTTGGTTGTAAGTTGTCATTGTTGTGTGGCAGGCCTGGGCTGGGTCCGAATTCGCCAGTTCCTATGTATGTGGCTGGTGCCCTAGCCACTGAGCTACAGGCGTCAAGCCCACACCTTCTTTTTCATTACTGGTTGTATGAACCGTAGAGATAAGAGTATGGGTTTCAGAGTGGCACCTGTGGCTCAAAGGAGTAGGGTGCTGACCCCATATGCCAGAGGTAGCGGGTTCAAACCCAGCCCCGGTCAAAAACTGCCAAAAAAAAAAAAGAGTATGGGTTTCTCCAACTGACCTTTCGTGCCCCAGGTGGGGTGGGCTGGAAGATACGAGCCTGCATGTCAGAGGGCAGGTTGGCATAAATGGGCAGTACCAGGAGCTCCCGGATTTTGGAGCCCAGGCGGCGGCAACGATCCTGGAGCATCTCACAGGCAGCTTCAATCTCCTCCTAGGTTTAGGATAAGGAGAGCAACAGAGGTTCCAGAGTCACAGAAAGCCCGGCCAGTAAGCCAGCTTAGTTTTTCCCTGGGATATATTATTTCCCCTCCCCACTATATCAGGCACCTGTCCTGTCAAGAAAACCAGGATGTCCCCAGGGGGCTGGGTCACATGGATCTGCAGCACAGATACAACACAAGCTTCCAAGTAGTCAGCCTCTGGAGCCTAGGGAGAAGGAAGAGATGGGGTCACAGGAGGGCCACCAATTTGGCAAACCTCCCAGCTCAACATACATTTTACTCAATTTCACTTTTCTCTCCTTTTTTTTTTTTGAGACAGAGCCTCAAGCTGTCGCCCTGGGTAGAGTGCTGAAGCATCACAGCTCACAGCAACCTCCAACTCCTAGGCTCAAGTGATTCTCTTGCCTCCGCCTCCCAAGTAAGCTGGGACTACAGGTGCCTGCCACAACCTCTGGCTATTTTTTGGTTGCAGCTGTTGTCTGGCAGGCCCAGGCTGGATTTGAACCCACCAGTTCAGGTGTATGTGGCTGGCGCCTTAGCTGCTTGAGCCACAGGCGCCAAGCTGACCTTTCCCTCCTTAGAATCTCCTCCAAATGCCCCAGCTTCTTTGCCTTCGAATTAAGCCCATCCTCTCTGGGGGGATACCTTAGTATAGAAGATGTCCACTGGAAACCTGCGCCCAGGGATTCGAAACACAGGGGCATCATCAAAGAATGTAGAAAAGCGGGCAGTGTCCAGTGTGGCTGAAGCCACCAGGACCTTGAGCTCAGGTCGGAAGCGAGCAACATCCTTGATCAATCCAAAGAGAATGTCTGTGTGTAGGGTCCGTTCATGAGCCTCATCTACCATCACCACACTGAAGAAAGAATGGGGGAAGCAATGAGAGGGGACAGCTGAGCAATGAAGAATCAGACACCAGGTCCCCTGGATGAGAGGGGAAGAATGAATGTTAGGGGAGGGGGTTCTAAGGAGAAGCCAACTATCCTAGTTACATTAGATTAACAGAAAGTTAGAGAAGACCATGGTCCATGGTCTGCATTCTATCATAACCTTGGCAGACAGGAGTAGCTAAGATGAAGAGGACTTACTGCCAGGACACTGCCAGGACAAGTCAGACATCCCCTCTAGTTCAGAATCAAGAGTCTGGTTAGAGTCAGCAGCTGTTCTTACTAGAAAAAGTAGGATGTTTTTTGTTTGTCTTTTTTTTTTTTTTTTTT